GCTTAGTGGTTCCACCGTGTGCCTCGCAAGTGCAAGGACCCAAGTTTGATCCCCGGTACCAAAAAAAAAAAAAGGTCTAAGTATAAAGAGACTAGAGTCTATCTGCTTGAGAGAACTCTCCAAGAAGACAGAAATTAGAGCAAGGTTGATAATACAGGACATGCTCTTCCTTATCCCTCAACATTAACTGAGCACCTACCATGTGCCTAACATACTGGATGATGTTTGAAAACAGAAAGATAAATCAGTTGTGTTTCTTCATCTTCAAGAATCTTTCATTTAGTGGAGGAAACAGATATGAGAATAATTTTTAAATAAGATAGAATGAAATAAATCTTATAAACAAGAAATTTATTAATGGGAATGCTAAAGAAAGGCTGACTAAATCTGGACAGAATTCTGACAATTCTTCATGTCGGAAGGATTATTCATCAAGTTGATCCTCAATGGATGAGTAGGGTTCCAAGAAAGATTAATCTTGGCTTTATTAATGTAAAATCAGAGAGGTTTAACAGCATATTGCACATCTGGAAAACTGTGAGCATTGTGAGGTGGTAAGAGTGTAAGATGTAGTGTAATATTTTGTGAATACTACTCATTACTACATGCCAGGCACTTAGCTATATACTGGGGACTACACTGGAGAACGTGACAGATTTAGGTCCTGATCTCTCGAATGTTAAAATCTAATTGGGAGAACACATGTAATTATATAATTATAACTGTCATAAATTCAAAAGGGGAAAATTATAAGGTATTACAAGCAAATATAGTAGTCTGACAAATCAGGGAGGGGAGTCAAAGTAATTTAAGTTGTGATCTGAAGAATAACTATGAGTTAGAGGAGAGAATAAGGAAAGAGTTGGGCTTGCATGGTAAAGAAAGGGAAGATGTAAAGGCACTAGAGTGAATGATATGTTTGAAGAAGAAAAAGGCCAGTAAATTACAGTAACCAAGGACAAAGAGGCATGCAGTGAGACTGAACAGGTAGGTCAGGGAGTATTACAATCACTGGCTGTATGTGAAGAAAGGACTAAGAATGTTGCAGTACAAGCAAGAACTGAAGTGGATGGAAATGGAGATGGTAAGGTGAATGCAATTGAGATTTATTTTGAAAACAGAGCTATAGAATTTGTAATTGACTGGGAATAAGGTAATCAGGAAGAGGAAAGTACTAAGAATGCTCTTGAAGTTACTGGCCTGAAAACTGTTGGATACCCAGACATTGTGGCAGAGGCTTACAATTCTAAGCTACTCAGGAGGTTCAGGAAGGAGAATCATTAGTTTGAGGCCAACCTTGGCAATTTATTGAGACCTTGTGAAAAAATAAGAATAGGCCTGGGGATTTAGCTCAGTGCACCATGCCTGTCTCGCAAGTGCAAGGTTGTGGGTTTAATCCCCAGTACCAAAAAAAAAAAATTAAAAAAAATATATATATCTCAGTGGGAGAGTATTTGTCTAGCATGCATGAGTCCTTGTTCAAACCCTAGTACAGGAAGGAAGGAAAGAAGAAAGGAAGGTAGGAAGGTAGGAAGGTGGGCAGGAAGGCAGGAAGGTGACCGGGGAAGCTACTGGATAGTGGTGCTGTTCATTAAGAATGCATAACACCAGAGAGTGGGCTGTTACACACTCACAAGGATCATTTCAGCTCAAACATAAAACTGGAAGTTGTCACATAGTATTTCCAAATAAAACTAGATGAAATGGCTTAAGGAGAAAGTAGGATTCTGAAGAACTGGGCTAGGAATGAGCCCTGACAAACTCAAATATTTAAAGAACATGTACAGAAAGACAGGCAGTAAAGGAGACCAAGTTGCAGTAGTCAGAGGTAAAGAAGGATGAGAGAAGATAAAATAAGAAAGCATTTGAAGAA